TAATAAGTTGTAGAAAAGTTTTCACAGACCAGCACACTCTTGTTTATCCATGTGTATTCTGACCAATTATAAACTTGTTTTAAAGCGTTCACGAATATGGACTTGTTCATCAGGACTCTAAACTCTCCTTCATTAATCAGTATATACACCCCTGAACAGTTAGATATCTGGTGGTGACGGCACACAAATATAGCTTGGCTGTCATTGGCTGAAGTTGATGYTTCAGTTGTATTGATGTAGTAATCTGTAGACTGGAAGACTTCACCTGTCTTTTTGATGACAACTGTTGACGAACCATCTTGTAGTACCGYGTACTCACTCCTGTCATACCTCTGCCGATTGACACAACTCAATACTCTTTTATCAGCTTTGACAACGGTGTATGACATTCCGTCGACGGTGATGTTGAATGGGGATGTGAAATGTAAAATATTTCGCACGTTTCCTTGAAGGCTTTCGTTTTTAGGAATTTGGAGGGTAATCATTAAAGTGTAATATGCGGACCCTCTATTAAAATTTCTCACCTGATGAATGGGAACAGCTAGTGCTATTGCAATTGCTTCCTGTGATGGATTTAGGAAAATATATGACCCAGTATCATATATTCTTTGTAGCCTGAATGCAACTTCGTATTCGTAAACATCTGAAATTCTTGGTAAAGCTGGTATAGCATCTCTACAGATATCCAGGTAATAATCATAAACTAGTTCAGAAGGACAATCGTGTATTTTGATTTGCATTAAATCGAGTCCTTTGGAATTGTTGTTTTTGAAGTCAAAAATGAATGTCAAATGTTTGAAAGGTGTAGGTATAACATTTTTCCAAAAAGAATTTGTAAAGTTTGGACCACAAGATATGTTACTCAAAGGATTGTCACATTTTGCACAGTCAGCATTTTTGTAAAAGAAACCACTGGTTACTATTCTTAGTTTGTGTGTCAAACACTTAGTAAGGGTCATGTTCGCATCGATATTGAATGTAGAGACGCAGTCAGACACCTGCCTCAAGTAAAGACAATATCTTCTTGGATCTCCTTTCCATGGTGAGAAATATATCTCATTAGATGGGTAAGTTCTCGTACAATAGGAAAAAAGATAGGATAAAGTGTTTTCAAAGCTCAGATGRCGTGGAGGGGTAAAATCACAATCGATGGACAAAGGAAATTCAGTCAATTGACTAGAAACAACTCCGTTACATTCAGCACAGAAACGATTGTGGTACACTCTGCCATTGTTGGTGTACACAGGAAGATAGCGGTAGTTATCTTTAGTGATCGTA